TCCCACCTTCGTGCACACAATAAAGGTGCGTGCTGTTTAAGACCGACGGAAGCAGCAGCTAGTGTAGGCGCTTCCTTCCACCCTAAATGTAACTTATGGGGAAACCGTGAGTGGCAGGTATGGTCATGGTAGTCTGTGTACCCTAAAATGGAAACAGACGTGGCAGGAGATTATTTTGATACTCTATTAATTTGGATGGCCTGACATGGTACTGATTGCCATGCAAATAAAATATAAAGGGCTTTATTCGAGACTAAGTGTGAAATCCACTTGCTGTGAGGGCTGAAGATGCTCTGTCCCCCTACCCAGGGCACACGCTGACAGCTACGCATCATCTGACCTCCCACGCTTCCTGCCAGGGGAGGCATCTCACAAGGGTAGTAAGTGCACCACCGTCCCTAAGCCGGCAGGCTGATGTCGGTGAGTAGTGTAAAGGCAGGGGCAGGCATATAGGTGTGCGTATCTCGTGTGTCAGCCTGTCTGTAGGTAGATCCCACTGCACCTTCTCCCCCCAGGAACCCCTGGGTGAGGGTGGGTAAGTTGGCCAGGAAAGCAGTCTGTTCAGGTCATCGGCAGGACTTGCACCACCTTTCCCTGTGTCCCTCACCTCATCTCAGCCTTCGGTGCTCTCTTCAGTCCATTGACAGTAGCTACAGTACTTATTTTTTTTTAGCAAATACTCATTTTGTGTCTGCCAGGGGTTAGGCACTGGCCAAGGGCTGGCTACATGGGTGTTTGGGGGGTTAAATGAGGTAATAGCCAACGTGTATCACTTCTGTGCCTCTTTTTTTTTTTTTTAATCCCCACCCAAGGATATTTTTCCCACTGCTTTTCGGAGAGAGGGGGAGGGGGCGAGAGAAAACACTGATGTGAGAGAGCACATCGATCGGTTGCCTCCCCAACTAGGGTTGGGGATCGATCCTGCAACTCAGATACTGTCCTTGACCAGAATTGAACTTGGGACCCTTCAGTCTGGGGGCTGACGCACTAACCATCGAGCAAACTGGCCAGGGCTCCTTTGCCTCTATGAATTATCTCACTGAAGCCTCACAGTACTGTAAAGCGCACTTCATTCTGCAAACAGTACTAGAAAGCAGAGTACTGCTGTGTACCCCCTTTTATAAATAACATGAATAAGTTGAGTCACGGCAGTCTGGGAGCTCCCCCAGAGTCCCGTAGGTGGTAAGTGGGAGAGTGCTTCGCCGGGGTGGATGGGGCCCAACAGTGGCCCTCAGAAGCCTGGGGTGGCCCTGAAAACGCAGGTCTGGGTTCTCTAGCCGAGGATCTTGATGTCCCACTCAGCCCTCCACTCTCTACCTTTGAGCAGGTTCTTTTTTGTGTCGGGGCAACTGCACTTGGTTTTCACTTGGCCTGGACTGGGAGCCCAAGTCAGAGCGAGGTCCTCTGTGTGTCCCCAGTGCCCGCCTGCTGCTCCGTGCCACTGTCCCTGGGGCTCTGCACAGCACCTGGCACACACAGCACCGTGGGGTGACTTGAATGATCCCCTGACACCTCTGGGTGGTTTCTCTAGTGCCTGGAATTGTACACATCACCTGTTCCCTAGACGTCTAATTCTTTCTTAAGCACTTCTTTCAGCTCCTCACATGATTAATCCAGGACATTTCTAGTTTCTCTTTTTTCCTTTCTCTGTTACTTTTCCCTGAAACTTTCCCCCAGCATGTAACATGGGGGTTAGTGTGCTTCACAGGACACGTGTCACATGGTTACTTCCATCTGTCACCTCTTTTTCGTCATGACTGGACCCATCACTGGAACAGCCACTAAGAAAGAGTTGTGGCTTCAGAACATAGCAGGTCAGTTGGCAGCTTGCATGTCCCGTTGGCCAAGGGCTGCCCTTGGTCCCGTCTCTGACGGGGGTTGCACAGGGCGTCAGCATTGCAGGGTATGGAGGCTTGGGGCTCAGCCCGGGTGGGGCTGTCCTGGGGTTGCTACCAGGTAACCCTGGAGCCTCAGGCTGCTCCTCTGGAGAACAAAAGGGTCTGGGCCCTGATGCTTGGAGCTTTGTGAGGAGATGCCCGCTCCCAGCGCGTCTCTATTGGCAGCTCTGCAGGGAGAGATGAACTGCCCAGAGCCTCTCGAGATGAATCCTTGGCTTTGAGGGGTTCCTGGGAGGGTAGTTGGGAAGCCCGGAAAACTGGAGGCTGTTGAACACCCCTTTTAGTGCTGTGATCCCATAGATGTCTTTAGCCCCTGCACAGTTCCTTTCTGCAAGTGCAGGGAAAGGTCAGCATTCACCTGCAAGAGACCGGAGGAGTGGCTAGAGGGGCAGGGAGATTGTGCAGGCTGCTGGGCACCGGAGCAAGCCCTGTGCTCATCTCGAGGTCCCTCCGCTCCTGGCACAGTTCTCTCGTAGGGGCACGTCAGCGCCTCAGCCACTCGACAGGAAACGGTCCTGGGCATTTGCATGGGATGTAATTCCTGCCCAGGGTAAGAATGGAGGTCTAGTGAGGGGCAAGGAGTCAAATAGGGAAATGGCAAGAATTTTCTACATTGCATTTATTTTACAATTTGTGGAGGCTCTGGGCCTGGGTCCTCTCTGTGAGAGCTGCCCCAGGGCCACGGGGGTGGGGCGGACATCGGGAGCTTGCGAAGCCCTCGGGAGTGGCTGGCATCATAGGCACCGTCCATGGTCGCCACTGTTCTGGCATTACGGAGTGCGTGGGAGGTCTGGTTATGGCGAGGAGAGCTTTTCTTGTGGTTCCCAAAGCTGACTCCAACTGATAGTGGGAGAAAATGGGGGGGACGAGAAACCCCAGTGTGGAGGCAGTGACGTGCACAGTAAGTCCCTGCTCCACCCAGTGTGTGCACAGTGCGTGGTATTATCTGAACCCGGCGGTGTTTTTAATATGCACACGTACTTTTTGTTGAGAGGAATGAGGTTCTACATTGGGAAAATACAAGAAACAAGTCGAGTAAGCGTGTCAGTGTCAAAGCGCCTGGGTGAACCGAGCAGAAAGCTGGTTTGCAGCATCTCTGGGAGGGTGGGAGAATGTGGCCTGGAGGCCACGAACCTGGGCCTGTCACGAAGGGTGAAGCCGCTCACCTGTAAACATACCTACACTGCCCTCATCACTGGCCTACGTCATGGATTCAGTGGCCACCTCTGGGTGCTGCCTGTGACTTCCACTCAAAGTCTGGGCTCCCAGTGAGCATGTGATTGGTGGGCCTGGGGCGTCCTGTGCTGTCCCCAGATGCAGGAGGGGCTGGGGCTGTTCTTTCAGCTCTTCCAGGCAGCCACTTCCCAGCCACCAAAGGGGGCTCCGAGGCTGGTGGCCCAAATAGATGATGATACACAGCAACATGACTAAAATTATCAACAGGAGAGCCTGTTAAACAGAAGAAGCAGTTCAGTCTTTGCTTATATGGCAGGTACAGTGCCACTTCCTGGCTCCACAGCACGTCTCTGTAGTGCTGAACAGCGTTCCATTTTATTTGTCCACCTGCTGAAGGACGTCTTAGTTTGCCAAAACTTAGACCCTGTTTCCATTTCTTTATTACACCCCATGCCCCTATGCTAAGAGGACATACACCTTCTGCCTCTAGTCAGCGGAAACAGTGAAAAGTAATTTGAAAATGAATCGGAGCTACTGACGGAGGTGATAGAGGGTAAAAGGTGTTGAAATGAACATGGGGCGGCCCAGGGAAGGGCAGGACGGTCCGACCGTGGGGGGGGGCGCAGTGCTGCTGCCCAGAGCACCCGTCGCTGGGGCTGTTGGGGTGCGGGCCGAGGGAACTTGGAACTAAATGTCATGTCTGATCCATGGGACTTTAAATTGGCGGATGTTGATCAGCAGTGTCCGGTTTGTGTCATCTGAACCTATTAACCAGATCTCAGCCTCTGTTTGGAAATAACAACAGCAACATTTTTGAGTACTATGTGAAACTAAGTTCCTGAACTTACTTTAATGGTTAAATGTTATTTTCTGTCTTCTCAGACCTAGATAATGTCAAACAAATACAAATCTGTATCACTCATATTTTAAAATGAAAATGTTCCAGAGATAGTTTCCAAAATCACTGCCGACTTCAACCCTAGTAAGGAGAATGTCACTTTAAACTAGCAGTGAGCTGGGCATACAGAGTCTTTTAAACAGACGGGTTTTCTGAGAAGGAAAACACTGAGATGCTGGCAGTTAGATTCCTGGGGTGGTATTTGGGGTGGTTCGGCTACAGTGGTGTTTTCTGCAGTAATGATGCAAACAGAGTGCACACTGGACATGCCTTGGGAATCTCACACTTTGGAATTTCCTGTCTAGTGTTTATCTAAACTCCTAAGTTTAAATTTGCTCTGATACTTTTTCAGTTGGATTCTTTTGACCAAAGAGGAAAGGTTTTTCTTCAAGGAGTAAAAATAATTGTCAAGTCCTGTAAGTTTGTTTTCTACCTAAGTCAGTGCGGTGCATCATGGAATGTTTTTAGCTGTTGAATCTATTGTGAGAAACACTTGTGCTTTACCAAAACGATAGGAATTGAGTATATTCTCTTAATAGGTGAGCAATGACAGTTTGGGGCTCTTTGGAAAAACTTAAGGGGTCTGAATGAAAAAGACACCAGCCTGTTCCTGGTGATGAGAGTGAGATGATGAGGATGTAGACTCGTGCGTATCAGTGAGGGGACCCTTTCTGTTTCTAAGATACGAGTTCGGTAACTGATTCTTTGTAGCTAGTGCATGTGGAGCTGTGACACACACAGGCACACCACATGCACCACACACACTCATACACACCCCCCCTCCACTCAAACACATACCCACACACTCACACACTCATACACTCTCAGAGGAATTTCGCTCCATTGAACCACCTGACAGGTGGCCTGAGTGAAGGTGTCTGTGTGGTCTCTGGCTTGTGGTCTGACCCCTCTCTCTGGGGTGTCACAGGTCCCTTCTGTCCCAGGGCCAGGGTTGCCTTTGTGTAAGTGCTGGAGAGCTTAAAAGTAGTCTGTCCTCAAAGATCTCTCTCTTTTTCCCCGTTTTCTAGGAGTTTGCAGCACTTACTAAAGAACTGAACGTATGCAGGGAGCAGCTCCTGGAGAGGGAGGAAGAGATTGCTGAGCTGAAAGCAGAAAGAAACAACACCAGGGTGAGTAGAAGGCCTCGCGCTGCGCTGACACCCACCTCTGAGTCACTGTCGGGAGCAGTGCTGCTGGCTTTCCACTCAGAGATGACCGCCCGCTCTGCCTGGCTTTTAGAAGACACATTTCAGCGTCTCCTGCCAATGACTGCGGTCAATCAGCTCAGTGTTCTCCCCTCGCTTGAAATTTATGACGAGAAGGACTAGTACTTCCATGCATGTGAGGGGGGCCTCTCTGACTTTAGACAGAACTGAAGAGAGTCAGGCTCGCTGTAGCGTGAGAGTGAGGGAGTTATTTGCCCCAGATGCACATACGATATCGAGAATGCTCTCGAACCGTGCTTGATGCCGGCCTCTCTTCCCAGCTGCTGCTGGAGCACCTGGAATGCCTGGTCTCCAGGCACGAGCGGTCCCTCCGCATGACTGTGGTGAAGAGGCAGGCGCAGTCCCCGGCAGGCGTGTCCAGCGAGGTGGAGGTCCTCAAAGCACTCAAGTCGTTATTCGAGCACCACAAAGCTCTGGATGAGAAGGTACCGTCAGCCGCGCAGTAGTTCTTGATTGAGCACACGCTGTGGTGCTAGGTGGGCGTCGTGTGTGGGTACAACTTTAGTTTGCTTGTAGCAGCTTACAATTTTTCCTGTGGGGAGACAGAGCTCTGTATAGTTAAAAAGTATTAATTGGCGTAAATGGCTTAAAATTTATATTTTGTATGTTGGTTATTAAGGATTGAAGAATATAATTTAAGGGAAGGTGTTCCTAAAATGTACAGCTGTTACGCTGTTAACACGCAACTTGACATTAACATCAGTAAAGGACATTAAAGTATTCTGCTGTGTTCTCTTGCCATAATGGTATATGAGAATAATTCATTAAGCATCAAATAAACATGCACATGCACACTCACCTCTTACTTCCAGGTGCGGGAGCGCCTCCGCGTGGCCCTGGAAAGGTGCAGCTTATTGGAAGAGGAGTTGGGTGCCACACACAAAGAGGTAAGCTGGATGCCTAACAGGCTTTGGATGGAGGGTTTTTCATTTTTATCTCTCAGTTGTAAAAATGTTATGAAGATGGTAATAGTGGCTATCAGATGCTATTTGTCTCTGATTGAGGACTGTACCGGCTCGGGTCAGTGTACCAACTGCTGAGTGAGACTTTCCTTTCTGAGTTGCGGGATCTCTTTTTTTTAAATATATCTTTATTGATTTCAGAGAGAGGAAGGGAGAGGGGGAGAGAGAAACATCAATGATGAGAGAGTCATTGACTGGCTGCCTTCTCCACGCCCTCAGCTGGGGATTGAGCTGCCAGCTTGGGCATGTGCCCTGACTCGGAATCGAACCTCGATCTCCTGGATCCTAGGTCAATGCTCAGGCTGCAGGATCTCTTAAGTACCATCTATCCTGTAGGTAATGAGTGGCTTTAATAACCTGGTTGTAGTCAGGAGGGTTGACATCACCACTTATATGTTTTTATACCATATTTACAGTTTATAGTTGTGTTTTTTCAAAAGGAGTTTTGCTATGTTTACTTACTTCTTTACTCTCATATTCCATGTTTTGGTTTTAGCTAATGATTCTTAAAGAACAGAATAATCAGAAAAAAACACTGACTGATGGGGTGCTTGACATAAACCACGAACAAGAAAATGTGCCAAGCACGAACGGAAAGGCAAGTCCTCCGCTCTCTCTGGGTCTCCTTCTGGGTCTTGATTCTATCTGTCCACGGTGTGTGTGCAGGAGGCATGGAACGCTGTGACCATAGCACAGCAAGCAAAGTGTAGACCTCGTGTGCTCATGGAGGCTGCTCAATCCTGCAGGCTGCACACGTTAATTCTCATTCTACCTGTTTCCCAGCTCATCAGACAAAGCGACTTAAGAGTTTCTTTCTCCCCATCAGAGATCTTCCGATGGTTCCTTAAGCCACGAGGAAGACCTTGCTAAGGTGATGGAGCTGCAGGAGGTCATAGACAGGCAGTCACGGGAGCAGAGCCAGATGAAGGAGCGCCTGGCCGCCCTCTCTGCCCATGTGGCGGAGCTGGAGGAGGACCTGGACACCGCACGGAAAGACCTCATCAAGTCTGAGGAGGTGAACACGAAGCTGCAGCGAGATGTGCGGGAGGTGAGCTGTCCTGGGAACCATGGGGTTGCCATTGAGCTGAATGGTCGGGGTGTTTTCAAAGTTTGATTGTTTTGCTGATTTTGTCCCTCCCTCTCCCAGTTGCTTTTGACCTTTGGATCATTGTGTACGTGGTGGTGAAACAGAGCAGTGCTGTGAGACTGATAGGTGCCCTTCTATTTCCTTGGCCTCAAAAAGTGGAGGAGACTCTGTCTGGCTGGTCACTGGCGGTGGTGAAAGGGATGTGAGGTTGCCCTCCAGGCCATGCTGCTGCATGACTGTAACACCCTGGCTGTGGGGCCTCATTTCCACAAGACTTGGGCGGTCCGAATTTAGTCTTCATTGTGCTCAGATGCGTACGTACACGTGAGTGAGCGTTGGTGTCTGTTGTGCTGCTAGTCCACTCACAGTGATGTCCATGCCGTCTGCGGACTGTGCAGGGAGAGCTGGCCGTCTTCTAGCAGGACGTCCTGCCCTGAAGGAATAGATGGTACTGAATGCCAGGGGGGATCAGACGGACAGCGAGGCTACTCCCATTGGGGTCACCGGGATTGTGTTGTAACATTGCTTAGAAATACATTCATGTCTGGCAGACGGTTCCTTCCGTGTGTGTAAGAATTTATGAGAACTAATTGTCATTATAAAAACCAGTGAGGGCTGGATACTTTCTCTGGATACTTTCTCCCTCCCCCCTTCAGTTTAATCTGTTCTTTGTAAAGATAACAAACACCTCTTCTCCACGGGAGGCCATCTCAGCCAGGACCTCTCAGGAAGAGCCTTTCAGACCCTTGAATAGTAGGTAGAGCGTAACCTGTTAACCTGTTTAGTTACATTGTTTTTTGGCTACAGGACATTATGTGGCAGATTGTAATGTGCAGAGAATTTTAAGATTTTTTTTTTTTTTAATATATCTTTATTGATTTCAGAGAGAGGAAAGGAGAGCGAGAGAGAGAGACAGAAACATCAATGATGAGAGAGTCATTGATCAAGCCCGCAACCGGGCATGAGCCCTGACTGGGAACCGAACCTCGATCGCCTGTATCCTAGGTCGACACTCAACCGCTGAGCCACACCGGCTGTGCTGAAATTCTTTTTTTAAGACATGTCACTTTTTTTTTTAATATATCTTTAATATTAATTTTTTTAAAATATATCTTTATTGAGGAAAGGAGAGGGAGAGAGAGATAGAAACATCAATGATGAGAGAGTCATTGATTGGCTGCCTCCTGCATGCCCCCGACTGGGGATTGAGCCCACAGCCTGGGCATGTGCCCTGACCGGGAATGGAACCCCAATCGCTTGGATCCTGGGTTGATGCTCAACCACTGAGCCACGCTCAGCCGGGCAAGACATGTCACTTTTACTATTAAGATTTTGCTAACATTAATTACTTAGTCAACAAGGAGGGACCTAAAATGAATTTCTGTGTGGGGACAGGAGCTGCACCAGCAGGAAGTTCGGCCTTCATTTCAGGGTTTAATACTGTGTAAGGCCATTTTTTTCAAAGAATTAGGCTTTAGAAGGCTGATCCAATTGACTTAACACTTTGACTTCTGTTTCCATTCATTGATGTCATCTCCTTAATTTCGTGGTAATTAGATGCAATTTCATCCAACTTGTACCCAAGAAAATGCCAGTGGTGTCTCACCACCGTGCCCATGGAGGGGCCATATCGTGTCCTGTGTGAACCCGCTTGTACCTCCACCTCCTGCAATTCATGCAATATTGGGATGCTTTATTGTACATTTTTTTGAAATACTACGTAGGAAGGGATAAGCTTGGCTCATCAAGTGGCCAGAACTTGTGTTAAGACAGGAGTGTTGGCGAGTCTTACAGGTGAAGGTTTATGATGTGTGAGGTAGGCACGTTTTCACTCACTTTCAGGAAACCGGCATCTCTATCAGTTTAATTTTGGGGGCACTAATTTTCTATTTGATTTGAAAGTTAGGGTTTAGCCCAGCTTTCCTCCTTAAGTGTATTATGCGTCTATCACACACCTTTCCCCCTGAAACCCCACCACAGGCCGTGGCCCAGAAGGAGGACATGGAGGAGAGAGTCAACACCCTGGAGGAGCGCTACCTCGCGGCACAGCGCGAGGCCACCTCCGTGCATGACCTCAACGACAAGCTTGAGACCGAGATCGCCAACAAGGACTCCATGCACCGGCAGGTAGTGGGTCCTACGGAACTTGGTCCGGCTTTTCCCATAGTCACTAAAGACGTTAAGGACCTTTCTCCAGTGACTTTCATGTTGGTGTCAAGTCCAAGTACAAAGTTTTTGTGATCTTAGACTTACTATGTTTGAAAAGTGTGGGTTATTTCAATTCACAGTTTTGATTATGTAGGATTTGGTTTTACCGTTTCATGGAGTTACATGCCTTGATTCTTTCTTTTGTTTTGTTATAATTGAACGTTAATCTGTTCTTTGTTAGCATTTTACCAAAGAAACAGAGAGTGACAAAGAACTTCAGGGCAGTGAGTGACGGGGCAGGTTCAGCAAGGCAGCCAGCAGGGGGCATCTGCACCCCTTGTGGCTCCGCAGACACACTTGCTCCTGCTCCTCTGGAGTCTCAGGTAGTCAGAGTTCACCAGAAAACCAGATCCGCTTCTTGAAAATAGAGTTTCTGCAGTGTGTTATAAAGTGTATCCTTAGCGCCCCAATAAAAATAAAAAACGAAATACAGGAAGCTATTATAAACCATAGTGTGCAGTGCTGTTCAAGGGCATGTGTGGCATTCACAGTAATGAGTTTGAAAGGCAGGTCTCAGCATTTTCTGAGAGTCTGAAAGCATAATATAGTGTATGTGGCTAACAGGTTTACAGCTGCAGAGTTTATTCTTGGTTATTATTTATTAATTGTTGTACTGCTAGTTTGTAGTACAGCTGTAAACCTACCTTTGCCCTCCCGTATGTGCACACAGACAAAGGGAAGAAAGCCGGATAGACAGATGCTCACTTCCCAGGACCTTGAACTTAGAGATGAGTTCTGAATTTTCTTTCTAAAAAACGTTCTTTTGTCTAAATTTTCTACATTGAAATTTTTTTAGAGTAAGGGGATTATTTAAAAGAATAATCCTACACTTACAAAAATAACTTGAGAGGAATTTCATAGGCATCCTCTTAGGAGGCCTCCCTGTCAGAGGAGATGGAGCCATGCTTTGGCTGTGTGCTGGGGTGGCCAGCTGTCAGGAGAGAGGGGCCTGGTCCTCCTTGGTCACCACTGGAGAAGGGTGAGCATGTTGCTTTAATGTGCAGAAACTTATTTTTTGGAAGACTTTTAAAAAATATATTTTTGTTTATTTCAGAGAGAGAGGAAGGGAGAGGGAGAGAGAGAGAAACATCAGTGATGAGGGAGTCATTGATTGGCTGCGTCCTGCACGCCCCCTACTAGGGATTGAGCCTGCAACACCAGGCATGTGCCCCAACCAGAACTGAGCCTTGACCTCCTGCGTCCTAGGTCGATGCTCAACTGCTGGGCCACACTGGCCAGACTGGAAGATTTCTTTAATGATACTCAGAAAAAGCAAGTATTCTGGCCAGAGGTGTTTTGCAATTGAAGTCAAGCCTGAGAAAGTGGCTATGAATTTCTCACAGGAGGAAGAGGGTTGTATTGCAGCAGCTGCCAAAACAGTGGAGCTTCTTCAGGGCTAACTTAGATATTAGCATTCAGATTTCATTTTAGTTTATTAAAAACACAGTGGCTGCCCTGGCCCGGTGGCTCGGTTGATTGGGCGTCATCCTGTGCATTGAAAGGTTGCTGGTTCTCTTCTGGGTCTGGGCACACGCCCGGGTTGGCGGCTTGATCCCCAGTAGGGGGCGTGCAGGAGGCAGCTGATCAATGTTACATTCTCACATCGATGTGTCTCCCTCCCTCCCCCTTCCTTTGTCTCTAAAGATCAATAAACTTTTTTTAAAAAAAAAAACCCCAAAACTGAATGACTAGAAGACCCTTTCCCACCCACTGCTCTGCTCTCTCTGCAGACTGAGGATAAGAACCGCCAGTTGCAGGAGCGCCTGGAGCTGGCGGAGCAGAAGCTGCAGCAGACCCTGCGAAAGGCAGAGACGCTCCCTGAAGTGGAGGCCGAGCTGGCCCAGCGGGTGGCTGCGCTCTCCAAGGTGCTGCCCTGGCTCCCTTCTCCTTACACACAGGACTTTGATGGGGAGGGTGCTTTGTTCGTGGACCTTATTCACTGGTCTCACTTTGGCATGCCAAAGTCTCTGAAATAGCCAGGCTGGGTTTAGTGCTGTTTTGTTTGAGATTGGAACACTCCTTAAATGTCAGATGTTATTCCCCCCCCACCCTTTATCCCGATGTTAATTTCCCTCCAGTTTGTCAGCCATATACTGTTTGTCCCCAGTGTGGGTATCTAAGTAAGAGTCACTTTTTCGGGGTTAAGTCAGCGGCTCAGCCTTGGATGGAAGCTTTGTGTGCAGGGAGGAAGGGTTTCTCAGAAGCAGGAGAGGACCGTTGTCTTCTAAAGACAAAGTAAATTTGTAAACAAACTTAAAAGTAATTTATTCATTTGTTTGTTCAACAAATATTGGCTAGGCATGTGCAAGACATAGTCCCTATCCTCACAGTCGTCCCCACCCCAGGGAAGCAGGCAGGTGAGAAGACAATTTCAGAGTGCTGTCATGGGTGCTCGGGCCGGGCGGTGTACACAGGAGGAGGGTGGCCATAGCCATAGCAACCAGCCCTCCTGGGCCTCCGAGGGACCTTGGTCTGTGGTACCAGCAGCCCGGGAGCCTGTGGGGGGTGCCTGCCCATGGTTTTGTCTCACTCGCTCAAGCGTGTGAGCTGGCCCTGAGGGATGGTAAGGAAGGGGCAGGACAGTCAGGGTGCTGTTGTGAGGCCAGCGTGGGGCTGGTCAGGGGACACTGGTGATTACAGACCTTCCATAGAGCGCATTCCTTGCTGACAGCCGTCAGAAGCTCTCTCTTTCCGTGTGATCTGCGTTTACAGTCTCGGTTTCTCTTTTCCCGTCCTCTCTCCTGTCCCTGGTCGGTCTCGTAGTCCGACCCTTTGTCTTCTGGAAGCTCTGCTGCTAAGGAGGCTAAACTGTGTGAACTCACTTCCCAGCTTAGGAAGGTAGCCATGTGCTATTGGGTTGTGCTCGCTGCTCTGCTCGCCATGTGCACTCGCCACGCAGGCTCAGGACGGGGAGATGTGAGAAAGCCTGAGCCTGGGCACGGGGTGGGGAGGCGCGTGTTCCTCACAGAGCCCGTCACCACCCAGCCACGCCCAGGGCCACCCACATGAGGGGCAGCTGCCTCCCTGGCTGACACGTGCCGCCACTCACGGTGTGTGGTAGACGTGAGGAGACGCTTCCACCGAGTGGGATGGAAACGTCTGCACGAGCATGGTGTGCTTGTCGCTACTGCTTTAGTTAGTTCGCAGCATGTGGTCCCCAGAATCATGTCACTGGTAGGTGAACTCACAGTGTTGTTGCCTGCAGGCCGAGGAGAGACACGGCAACATTGAAGAGCGGCTACTCCAGATGGAGGCACAGCTGGAGGAGAAGAACCAGGAGCTGCAGCGGGTACGTGGCCCAGCAGACACCGGCTCCAGCGCCTAGTGGGGCCCAGGGATGCTCTGGGCAGCGGGGTCTCAGTTCTTCTTCTCCTGACTCTTATCTTTTGCTCCACTCCTGCCATGTGTGTTTGCCTTGTGGCTGCATCTGCGCCATGTCTGTGGGAGATGCACCCGCCACACAGACAACTTTATGTCATGGTGGTGGCAGGAAAGAAACTGGTGCCCGCAGGCAGTCCTTTCAGGGGCAGTTGGGTCCCCACGCCCAAGGAGGCTGCTGCGGCTCTGACGAACCTCTTCGGAACTGCTCCAGGCACCAGGGGGATAGACCTATGCGTGCCTCTCAAACACGCCTGAGGGGGGTCCCCTGAAACTGGACTAGGGCAGAGTCTACTTGCTTAGGATATGACACCTAAGCCTCAAATTCAGGTCACAGTCCTGGCCTCTGTCCCAAAATACCGAGTTATTACCCTAAACGTAAAGGTACGTGTAGAGATGGATGCTCCTGGGCAGAGAACGGCTGTGGCTAAGCTGTGGTAGAAGGAGCCATGAGCATGGTGGGGGAGGTGGGTGTCTGGTCAGTCCCGAGAGTTCCTGAAGAGTTGGTCAGATGTCAGCATGACACATCCGAGAGCAGCAAGCGCTGTCCCAGGTCCTGCTTATGACATCAGTTCAAGGCCGTCAGATTCAGTTTTCACCAGAAACCTGTATTCCTGGCCATGGACTGCTGCTCATCAGACATCAGTGTCCATGAAGTGTGATCAAGGGACTTCGTGCTGGGCAGTCCCCCGCCTCCCAGGATATACACATGTGCATTACACATAGCCACACACGTGTACGTGTACATTGACACAGGCACACGCAGGCACACACACAGGCTTGTGTACTTGCACCTCTTGGAGAATTAGATTTTTGCCTATTTAGGGATATACTCCATTATTTTCAGAACAGGCTTATAGAGTTTTGAAGGACAAGTATTGAGATGGGAATCTGCTTATAACTAAGGCAATTCAAAGTAAACTTTTAAGTTGTTTTACTTTAAAAGTATTCAGTTGCCAACACCTTACTGTGTGGTGTGTGGGATCTCCTCCAGGGTGGTTGCCCAGTTAGGCACGACTTCTAGTGCTTTTTATTTAAACCTTTCAATGGCCGTAGAGAAAAGGGAGGCGCTAGCACCCATGTTCCATAGATGAGGAAACTGAAGCACAGCCCTGTGACAAGGCCTCGTGGGTTTGCTTTTACCTGGGCAGCATGGCTCAAGCTCGCATCTCGGCCCCTGGCCACGCTGCCCTCCCAGGTGGAGGAGCCCCAGTGCACTGCTTCGGCCACGTCACACCCCTCCCCACTTGGGCAGCCTGTTGACCCCTCCTGTCCCTGTACTTAGCTTGTGTACATGCAAGATATGGGGTGAAAACAGGCCTCTTGAACCATGAAATGGGTGGTAGTTTTATAAACTATAAACTTAACCAACTTTGCTATTATATTTTAAAATTGAGGTAACTATTTTTAAATTTTAATATAAATTTTTATTACAAAATGCTCAAGAGATATAGGACTATCAAGAAAAACAAGAGGAAGTCTATTCCCACTGACTTTTCTCGAGAATGAACTTTTTTACCTTTCGCTTTGTGGATTAAATTCTTTCCCCCCTGAGTCCAGACCCCAGCTTTTCACACGTGGGGACAGTCCTCCAGAAGGTGTAGATAAGTGGATCCCCATAAAAAATACCCCCCCTTTTCTGCCTGTAAGTCAGCCTGACAGTGATGATTGTGGCGTTCTGAGGCCACACATGCTCCGCCTGATGGGCGATCTTACAGGCGCATCTCTGCCTGTCTCTACCCCTGTGAGGGGTCCTGATGATCGTGTCATCCTGTGGGCGGCTGTAGGGGGGGACAGCCTGGGGGGACAGCATGCGTCACCCACACCTTTGGTCCCTGGCACTTTTTAAAATAATGGTCCTACTTTTGCCAGAAGTTGCTGAATTTCTGTCTCCTGTTTTAGGCCCGGCAGAGGGAGAAAATGAACGAAGAGCATAATAAACGCTTGTCCGACACTGTCGACAGGCTTCTCTCCGAATCCAACGAGAGGTTGCAACTTCACCTTAAGGAGAGGATGGCCGCTCTGGAGGAGAAGGTCAGATGCCCAGAGGCTTCCCACCCCTGAGCTGCCCGAGAGGCGCGACGTGGCTGCAGCCGCCACGGTAGAAGGCGCTCCTCAGGATGTGCCGGCGGCCCCACCGCTGAGTCCGCGGCCCCTCTCCTCGTGCCCTTTCCATACCCAGGACAGTGTGCACCATCCTGTTCCCTAGGACGGAGGCGGGAAACTGTTCCTTTAAAGGAGCAGGTAGAAAATGTTTTAGGCTTTTGCTCATTGTTAATGAGTAAGTAATTTTTTGTTAACCAGTGAATGTGAAAGCAGCCGTAGAGACCCTGTGAATGAGTTGGTGCGGCTGTGTTGCAGTAGAACTTCGCTGGCAGGAAGAGGCCGTGGGCTGGATTTGGCCGACAGGCCCTAGTTTACAGTAGGCCCCTGCGTGAGAATCTATTTGGGGCCCAGCCCTCACCCCTTCATTGCTCTTGCATTGGAAGTTAGTTTCTGTCTCAACGTCTTATTCCAACTTCTGCCTGCTCTCTTTTCACTTGGTTTGGAAAATGTCTGGGCCCGGCGCTTGCTGCTGCCATCATGGAAACCTTTAGCTGAACCAGAGAGGAGGTGCGTCCTAGAGCCTGTGTCAGAGAAGCTCCATGGGCGACAGCGGGGCTCAGATTCCATAATAGCTGTTCTGATGGCACCAGTACCTAGGAGGAGGCCTGCAGTCTTCGTTTGGGTTGGCACTTGGCCCTGCTTATTTGAAAGAGACCAGATGGTGGGACGCATTTATTTTATATAAAACCCACTGTGACGTGCATGGCTGGAGCCGCGTGGGTGGCTGGTTACGCGCGTCCTCAGTCAGTGGGCCAGCTCTTCAGTAGGAATGTTTTTATCTGGGAGCTGAACTGTGCATTTGCACCTGGGTCAGCTTCCCCTAGTAACCAGGGAATCACAAGGCCTGTAGGCTACTGCCAACCAGTGGGACTGATTAAAACAAACTGCACAAGCATTTGGAGAGGTGGTTGGGGAAGCAGAGTCACCTCACCTCAGAGAAGCTGTTCGGTGACTCGGCCCCGCTCCAGTGCTTCCCTCTGAGAGCGCGGTGCTGCTCAGCTTCATCCCCCCCGCCCCTGAGGGACTGCGCTGTTTTAAACAGAAAGGTGGCTGCACGGTGTTGTGTGGCACATGTCCAAGAGCCAGCACTAAAGCCCTGTCTGTCTTTTTTAGAATTCTCTAGTACGAGAAGTTGAAGATGCAAAAAAGCAGTTAGAAGAAACCCAGCACGATAAGGTACACCTTTAAATCACGTAGACCTCCCCTGAGAGCAGAACTGAGTAGAGTCTGCTGTTGCTGTGATCACTGCCAGTATTGGGAGGGCTCTGAGTGCAGTGCTCTCTGTGGCGAGCCCACTGCTCCCGTGGGCTTGAGTCTGACAGTGTGCATGGTTCAGAACTGTGCTTCCTTTCCGGCTTCACAGGAAAGCTAAGACATGAACCTAAACATTCCTCTAGAACAGGGCCAGCCAGCAAGAAGACACTGAGCCACATGTGATCTGAAACATCCTTGCAGCCACATCTAAAACAGTAGAAAGAAAGAGGTGAAGCTAATTATATTTAACCCAGTATAGTTGAAATGTTACTTTGCCACGTAATACAAAAGTCAGTGAGCTCCTTTACGTAGTTTTTTTCACATTAAGCTTGAAATCCAGTGTGTGAGTTATAGCACATCTCAGCCTGCACTGGCCCCATTCGAGGGCTCAGTGCCACGTGTGGCCAGTGCAGGGGCTAGGCAGGACAGCCCGAGCCAGAGCTTCCTGAGCGACTGCAACACTTTTTGTCAGTTGTACTTACTGTATTCTCGTGTATAGAAAAGAGGCCGAGCACACAAACGGGAGGCGAGTGCGGGAGAAAGTGAACCCTCCCCCCCCCCCCC